CCGTCACTCAAATTTTACAGGATATTAGAGAGAAGGATGGACGAACATGGTCAGGTCATTCAGAAGATGTAAAAACCAGTAAAGAGAAATGGCTAGACTACAAAAAGAATTAAACACATTTCAAGGTGCGTGTGTTAACTATTCATACGAGATTTACAGCGAGTAGAAGTATCTCTTAATTGATAGTTTCTATTACATTTGCTAAGGAAGCAACAGGTATTACGGGGGGGGCGGGGTAAGCGACGGGAAGCGGGGACAAAAACGGGGGGGAAATGGGGAAGCGGGGGAAGGAAAATATTTACGAAGTATCCAAACATTCTTTGCCCCTGCAGTCTTGAACTTGAGTCAATGTCTTTAGTGATTGTTCGATTAGTTTAAAGTTTATGAGCAACTTTTCGTTTGGAAATAATGTTCATCCGAAGATGGTTGACCAGTTGGTAGTATATTAAAACCGTGGTCCAGTTTCAAACGCACCAAACGTTGAAAGTCAGCCGTTTCCTTTCAGAATCTAAGTAATGGGTAAAAAACATCGCAGATGAAATCATGTGTCAATATGTCTACCCAAGGCTGGATATCAATGTCCAGTAAAGGGCTTCAATCATTTGCTGAAGAGTCCATTTTGTGTGCACCCTAAGACAGGTATTATTTACTTTTATGAATCATTTGAGGCGTCAGACGAATTCAGTCTGCTCAGAAAAAGGGAGCACCATGTATTAATTTCTTCCTGACTGAAGCATGCAAACAGGGGCAATTATTAACTTACTTTGAAAACTATTGTGTAAATAGACTTCACATATTTTTGCGGTATTCTTCATGTAATGTCATACCAAATTTTATGTAGATAAATGCTTACAAAACAACAAAAACCGTGTGTTAGATTCTTAACAATTTATTTTGCATAATTTTCAATTTAAGTTTTTGTAAAAAATATTATCAAGGAACATGCGATGTGTCCAAACGCTCTTGTAGGCTTGTTTATTAGTGGCTAACAAATTCAAGAAGGACCTAGGAGCCCTTTAAATCTCCACATTATGCTCAACCTACTTATATCTTGTAGCTATAACATTTAACCTTATTCATCCATAAAATGGTCTCCTTTGTATTCACAGGAAGTTGTGTTCCAATCATATAAAAAAATTGGATGAATTCGACCCTTCACTTGTGCCTACTATAAGGTATGTTTATGTCTTTAAACTCAAGCGCAATATCTTTAGTGTTGTTTATTGTTAACCAAAAGTTCTTTGATTGGCGAAGAGTTTCTACATCGACGTTAATCAGATCCCAAGAAACGCCATGCGACTTAACATTATTTAATCAGGAGAAAATCATAACATTATCTCAAGCAGTTGGCTTTGTGATTGAACCTATTGTCGTTATCGTAACATCTTTTTAAATTTAATCGATTGCTTTATGTTCGCAGCTTTTAGATACCCTTAATTTTTACATTGCTTCCTGAATACCTATGTCCATAAAATGATCAACCACAAGTACTCTTTAATCCCATAGAAAAACCCTGAAGAGTGACTAAGTGGTGACTGAAACTAAAGATATTTTTGTGAACATAAATTGATTTGGATCATGTTGTCTGAAGACCGTTAATAAAGCCCCTATAAAAACCTCAGCATGACCTGGGCTTAATTTTTACTGGAACAACTCTTCTCGGATTTGCTTGAATGAGCAAAGAAGCTCAGGCAAAGCATTTGTGTCCTTGTGAATTTATTTTTCAAAACTTTTATATTCCTTTCAGATAAAGATGAAATTGCTAATAGAATGTGTTTTTTATCTCTTGCTACTGTTTACCCTTTTTTCTTGATCTAGTACCCTCTGCGATGAAATCGACAAATATGACAAAAGCAAAACTGCCTTGGAGAAGGAGAGACGGGATTGGAGATGAAAACAGTGCACCGGAATGCTGAAATTGCTTGGTTTGTTGGCCAATTCAAACGAAAATTGATTTAAAAAAATCGAAAAAATAGATTTAAAGTCCTTCGAATCATGTATTGACCATAAATATTGGCAAGGTCCTGTCAAACAATCAAGCTTCTTTTAAAAATATATGTCTTTAAATGCCTTAAATAAGAATAGTTTTTTAAAAAGAAGTAACGTTTTGAAGGTCAGACATTGTTGCAGCTATTTGGCAATGGATATATTGCTTTTATGAATAATTCTTTAGATACAATTTGAAGAAATTTTTAATCATAAGAAAAGCTCTCAAATTTTATACTCACTTCCATAATGTATTTCATTCTTTAGAGTTACAAAAAAGACAGTCACTTCGCGACACCATGAAATGTTCCAGAAACTTTAATTATGCCAAATTGAAGTTGGTTGAAAGAAAATGGATCTAAAGGTACCATATGCTTTTAGTTCTGCAATATACATCAGGCAGACAGTGACATTTGAGTGACAAAATGGGTTCATCTGGCGAGCTTTTTGTTCCTTTGCAGTCTCAGTCCCGCTATGACTCACTGACGGATGACAAAAGACGCCTTGAAGAATCACTAAAGAATCTTGAGCAGAGAGTGATTGCAATGCAGCATGATATGGTCACGTTAAAAGAGAGAAAAGAACAACCAATCACGATCAATCAGCCATCGGTAGGTCACTTAAACACGTAATCAAGTTCTAAATCTACTTACCAATCGGTTAATCAGTCGACAATCACATGGCATCATTGATTCAAATCTGTTTTCTTTTTCACTGACAGCCACCACAACAGCCTCCAGCTCCTCCTCCACAGCCGCAACCAAGCACACCAACGCAGACAATCCACATTCCAATTCCAACTTTCATTCCCATTCAGCAACCTGCTTCTCCAACACCGGCTGCGCAGCCACCACCATCACCGACTCCTGTTGCTCCACAGCATAACGTGCAAAATCTAAAAGACAAGATTAAAACGCTTAAAAAAGAGAAGGAAGATCTGACACAGAAACTGCAAATGACACAGAGTGATCTTAGAGATGCAACAAGAGAAAATAACATTCTTCAAAAGCAGATCACGGATTTGGAGAAAATCCTTGACAAGTTAAATGATAAACTGGAGCAGGAAAACAACAATTTGCAAAAAACGAAAGAGCAGCTTGATGATGAAAAGCAAAAAGGAAGGAGAGCCGAAGATCAACTAGAAGGAGAGAAGAGAAAGGTGGGGAATATTTGCTTATTAAAAAAAAGAAATAATTTGAAATTTAGTGTATGATGCGCCATCAATTTAATAGGAATGTCAATTACAACACGCCCCTTTAGACTTAACAGTCAATGAATACAGGATCCTTTTAACCCTCTTTCAGAACTTTGACTAATATAGCTGTTAAAAAGGATTTGTGTCTTATCCTGTTTTTACTGCGGACCTACATAAAAACTTCTATTAATGCGGATAAAGTACTAAGATGGATAGAGAGAAAAATTTAGAGTTAGGGAAATTGGAATAGATGGGAGTGTAAATCAATCTACAGAAAACGCTTTAATGAATGAATATTGTGAAGTGTCCAATTTATGGTTTTCATAAGATTATACAGGGTTTTGAGATCACTGAATTTCAAAATACAGATTTTGATGTCACTATTTCTCTTCATTTTAAAGAAAAGGCGCAGAAAACTTATGCTGTTTCAAAATTCTTGCAAAGTAGCGAAAAGTCTTTTATGGTCTGATATGGCCTAAATCTTTTTAATTGTTTGCTATATGTCATAAACCCATTAAAAAAATTCCCGAATGATTGTATTCTGGTTATAGACTTTAGGATAAGAAATTCACCCATAGTTAGATCTTTGTTTCAGAATGATTGTAGAAGATAAAAAAAACAGTCTTAGAATGATTGTAAAATTTTTGCAGACAGAAGACCTGAAGAAAGAGCTTGGGGACAAAACACAGCGGTACGAGAAGGAAATGAGAGAACTGCAAGACAAACTGGACCACGCTGGCAAAGTTATAGCAACACTGGAAAGCAGTCAGTATACAGATAATCAAATATGTAGGTATTCATGTATATGTAAGTTTCTGCTGAATATGTTTAAAGAATAAAGACAAATGGAGCACTATCAATCAATATCGGTTTTGATCACCAAGTAAATGCTTGCAACTGGCTTTTTAAATATATCTTAACTGTGTCGATATTTTTACGTTATTATGTGGCAGAACAAAAACATGACACTAACAAGCCCTTATATCAGTACAAAATGTCTTGGTTTCTTCGTTATTGAGCAATTCGTGGCTTTTGTCAATAGAACATTTTTCTAGAAATACGGAATGATTCTTCTGCAGCGAATCAGTCTGTTGTGTTGCTAAAAGAATCTGCAATTTAAGGCGCTGGTCAGAACTTTTTTTATGGCAATAACACTAAGCGACTGGAAGAGAGAATCAAATACCCCGGTTCCTTCTTTATTAGAGATAAAACTTGGTAAAAGAAAGAAAATGGAATCCAATAGCGTTCTTTATGACTATAGGTTCCGGGCGAGTCATGATGTAATTGTAAATGGGTCTGGGGTTCCACTGGAACAAAAATTGCATGTTTGCGGAGATGCAAGATGCACTGACATAGTTTTAATAAATGACAAAAGTTATAGCATTGGTAATTTTTTAGATCAAAATGGAACAGCCAATCAAGAGCAGCAGCTAAGTTCTTCGAAACAAAAGCAGCAGAAGCAACGAAAAGCATCCCGTCAACCGGTTGAAGAAATGATAAATGCATCCGAATCCGGACCGTTATACGAGTCTTCCCCGGATTGGAATTTTCCGGATGAGGAAGAACAGCATGCTCCAATGGATGTTTTTCTAACCGAAAATGAATTCGACTATCCGGAGCCGGTTAAAGGCAATGATCAATCCCAGGATACTTTGAAAATCAAGGAGCTTGAAGACGAAAAGCAAGATCTTCAGAAACGACTAAGTGAGGCAAAATTCGCACTGGATGACTATACATCAAAATTAGACAACCAGGTAAGAGAATAATGGAGTTTCTGTTCACGGTTATGAGAAAATGCTTAAGATTAAACTTTGATTGAGCAGAAGAACAACTTTAGTAAAAAAATATCGTCACTTCAAGATTCATCAAGTCAAGGATACAATGAAAGAAGACCAGGCATAAAAGTCAGTAAGTAAAGCAATAAAAGTCAGTAATTTTGAGTGACAGTAGAACGAACTATTTAAGATCAGGAATAACTAAAAGAGCTTGTGAATGATCATGAAATATCCGCATAACATAGAGAGTATTTGTCTCAAATCAGCTCACTTAAATCAGCAAATGATTATAAGTTTTTTATTATCAGAATATCAAAATTCTGCTTTCAGTCGGACAGGGAAAGATATTCCACATGTTGTTACACTTTTGGGGAATGATTTTTTGTCACCTATGTGTATCATGGGGCACGACTTTTTATGTGAGAACATGAACTGGTGCAGGTTCACTTACGGAAAGTACAAGGCATCTCAATCATGTTCATTTTCTAACGATCACGCTCAGTAAAAAATTTAGCAGATATTATCATGAT